TGCTCAGTCTGTCATGACTCGAGCATTTAATAGCTTGATGTCCCGGGGAGTAAGGAAAGAAAGATTGAAAGACCAAAACTATATAACTCCGGCTATTGAAAGAAGGAAGTACAGGGATAAGTACTAGAACACCAAACAGACGAAAGATCTATTCGTCTATTCTTGATTTCTGGTAGGCTTGCAGACCGTTTAGTCGAGTATTTCATACCTCTCGGTTGGTGTAGTCAAAGACGTGCCGCAAGGCCAAGGGAATGGCTCTGCAGCTTAAGTAAAGAAATCTCTTCCTCTCTCACTTATAATCGTACTAGCCATGGAGGGCCCAGCTAGTTGTGCTCCGCATTCCCATTATTATAGGTGTGAAGCATGTGATGTCTTTCTAACCGGTATGTCCCAATTATTTGAAATCTAGATCGATACCGAGAAGTTGTGGCTAACCCGGGCCGTCCCCGTAGATTTCATATAGAAATTTCTGTACTCATTCAGATTATTATATATTTTAGTTTGGGTTCGAACCAAATGAATTCTGATTTGGTTCAGTTTGGCTTATGCATTTTTTTTCTATTCGTAGGTGAAACACATTCCTATACAAAATAAACAAAATAATCGCATATTTGAATATACGTAAGCAAATTTAGAATTATGTTCTGTACGTGTATACTCGTTTAATTATGTAGCACGGAAATAAACTCATTTGGGCTATTCCTTAAGAACTTAAAAGTTTCCCTCTTTGTATGTGAGAAAAAAATCAACACATTCTATTAGTATAAGAAAATATTATTCAAAAGAACACTTTGAGTCTTCGACTAGTTGGTATGAAACTAAACTATAATACTAAGTTTTTAAAAAATAGGAAACCCAAAAACCCGCGCTATAGTCGTCTTTTTTTATGTCATCAGATTTATTGATAAAATACCCGAAGGTGAAATACACATGTACACAAGTCCTACAACATAAGTCGGTAAACAAATAAATATCACCGAAACCAAAAGCCGACGACCTATGAAATGTCTCCGGAGCTAAAACCCCAAAAGAGAGAAACATTTAAACATCTGAAAACGGAAAACAAAGCTAGAAGTTAGACAATACAAGTGATAATAGGTCGAGCTAGGAGATATAAAGACGAGGAGACACACTCTGCAGCGAACAAACGTGGAAGCTGAAAATCAAGTGACCGATATAAGGGAAAGTGCCACTTACTCAACTCAAAATAACCAAGCTAAACACCCAAAAGACGAGAAATACAACTGATATGAAACCCGCTTTTACTGCAATACCACGAACCTTAATCTCTACACAAAAACAGTTTTTACTAAGTTAAAAGAACGAGCCACAGGCAGGAGAATCGCGAAGCCGACATCTAGTGCAGCAAAGCCACAAACCAACAAATCCAAAGACTTGTACAACTAGCTCTTGCCTCAACACGAAGACCTTAACCAATGACCAGAATCTAAGCTTCAACCAAGAAATAACCATTTACAACACAACCAAAAAACCACCTACAATATTCAACCAACACTCAAGCCTAGACACTAAATCGTCATTGACAAAACAAGTTCGGAAACAG